AACACACCAACAACGATGATTACTTAAAATCACACCGATATACTTCGTAATCAACCTCCTCAGATAATTATTTTTCTCGAAACGCAGGCAACAACATCCTGGAAATATGTTTTTTAAACGGGTCGTTCAGATTGACGTAAACGGTAGGCGATTGGCAATCAAACGACACACTGCCGTGTAAGTGATGGCATGGTCTACCGCCTAAACTGTTCTAATAAGCCCGTTTGAACACACAACTACATATCTACAAAACCGTACCCATCTGATAAGGATATAGGCGAAATGGTACTAGGATGAACGTTTCGTGGTTTGTGGGACAGATCATTATTCTCATGGTCAAATTGTGTTCAGCAAGAGAAGGGAAAAGACAGGACTTTCAGCAATGTAGGGTAGACAGCAACCTGAGGGGTTATATTGAAAATTAGAACGAAGTCGAAGGCGATTCAAGGCCAAACCAAAGGCTAGCAGACCCCGAGATGTAGCTAGTACGAATAAGAGGACGGTAGCTTAGGCTAGTCTGGAGGGTGAAACGTTCAAGGGGTTAAGATACGGGTAGATGGCACAGCTTCCGCCAATTTCTTGATTATTTGGGAAGCACGAATGTCGACCGACCACAAACAAAATTTCAAATGCCATAGGCTCTGAGTCAGAAATCGGTTTGGAAATGGTAAAATGACATGAATGATACCTTCCCCAGTCTTCATTACCAACAGTTCGACCGTCGCTCTCGACTATGTCCACCACGAGCTTCAGCAAGGTGAAGGCAGACGCGGTGACCACAGTTGTATTATAGTAAAATTAGACGCGCCGGATCTGCCCCACTCTCTCGCCACTCCCACATCTATAACCGATGTCAACCTAATAGTCGAGAAGACAGAAGCTGGGGGAGGGCGCAGGCGGTGTGCACAAACACATTCCAACACGCACTACAACAACACCACCTTGCTAGGTTAGGTAGGCTCCCGCGTGTGCGGGAGTGCCATAAGGGCCACATTAAGAAGGAGCTATTGCAGCCTGACTCTCAGCCCGCAGTAAGCCACTCTACACAAGAAAACACACTGGGCTGACTGCGCTGTCCGAGTTATCCTGTCAGTTGGCAACCCTCAAAGCCACGGCTTTTAGCGCACGGTGATAACTTCAAGCGTTTGGGGTTGTTTTCAGCTAGGAAGAAAATGCGCTGAGGGTCGACCGTACTCTCGCCCCCACCGCCCACGGAGCATAGGTAAAACTGAGTCAAGGTGCAACACATGAGAGTCTACCAAAACAGATTAATATGACTAATCGTGCGGGCGAAGGCGAGCCCTAGCAGGGGTGCAGAACCTGCTGCTAT